TTGATGGAGATGAAGAAATAGAATGAATGACTTCAGAAAAGTGGTACAACGATGATTCAAAGTGCTGGTCCTAGGACCAGCAGCATTAGCATCACCCAGTAACTTGTAATAAATGCAGATTATCAGCCGATGTCTGATCTACTGAATCAGAAATCCTAGGGGTGGGGCGGCAGTCCAAGGGATTCTGATATATGCTAAAGTTTGATACCACTGGTGTAGAGGCTCTTCCTCTGGGTCCATCTTTCCTAAGGTGGGCAAAGTAGCAGTTACTCTCTGCCTTAGGGAGTAGATGAAGTAGGTATATGGAGGCTGTCCCCACTTCCTTATAGGACAGGCACAGGACTGGAGGACTATCTGACTGTTCTCTGGATGTGTGTTGTGTGTGTGTACTCAGGGATAGGTACAGAACATACTGCTCTTTTCCTGGGTACTGCCCTCCTCCCCATGGAACAAGTTTAGAAAACTCTGCCTCCTCGTCCCAGGATGTATTCTCCCTTCCCTTCATGCAGCTCAGGGATGGAACCTGGGCATTCCACTCTGCTCTTCCCAAGGGGGTGGGAGTGGGATTTCATTTCCCCATTTTTCCTAGTGGCGTAATGTTATCTGTATGGGGGTATCCTTGTCCCCACTCTTCCTCCCTTGGGTTCTGACCCTGGAAGGGAGGGCCAGTCTGTCTATCCTTCCTTCCCGGTGGTCCTAGGGCCGGAAGGGGGTTTCAATTCTCTCGGTCCCGCCTTCCTGGAGTCCTGGGACCGGAAAGAAGTGGTTTTCTCTCAACCCGCCACATCTCAGGTGCTCACCTCGGGAGGCAGGTACGGGGGGTTGTTGGCTTTGCTCCCTCTGTTTCTTCCGTTCTTCTTCTTTCCCTTCGGGCCCCCGCAGCCGCTGCTGCCCCCGGCCCCCCTAGCCTTGAGGGTTCCGCCCATGGCCGGGCCCCCTCCGGGCCGGCAGCAGCCGCCGAACAGCTCCGATACCCGCGAGTCCATCCGCCGCTGCCGCCAGCCCCCCGCCCAACCCCTCCCCCCCGTCACTGCTGCCGCCGCCGCCGCCCCTACTGCCACCGCCGCGTCCGGCCAGCCAGGGTAGAGCGGGGTGGGGCCACGCCCAGGCCACGCCCCCACCCTTATCTGGCTCCGGGCGCGTCAGAAACAGCCGCGGTGCACCACGGGATATAGAGTCCTCAAGGCCGGGATCTCCCTCGAAAGAGGTCACCGCAGCCCTACAACTCACAGGAATCATCGCGGCGCACCGGACCGCGGGTGGCTTCGGGGCGTAGACAAGGAGCGCGCCTTTGTGCGCAAAGGTCTAAGGGAGCTGTAGTCTGGTTCCCAGTTTCTGCGCTCTGAACAGGTCCTTTTCTAAAGCTTTGGAGTCGGGGGTCACTGGAGGGCTTACTTCAGAATCAAGCTTTAAGGGCGCTCTTCGGTGTGGCCCCTTAGCGCGATCCCAGACAACAGGTTTTGGACCTGGAGAGTTGCAAATTCACGGCGACGGGTCCCTCCAGCCTGCTGGCTCCTCCCCTGCCTCAGTTTCTTCCCCGATGGTGCGCGTGCCGTGGGGGTGAGTCAGGGCGAATGCCAGGGCGGAGGTGGACGATGGTTAGCCTAATTATGGCTGTTATTGTTACGATGATTTTGTCATCTTTACACAGTAGTCACTGCTTTATTACCTGGCCGGCACCCTCCGGGGGCTGGTTTTAGCAGTGCAAGACACCGCGGTGGCCCCGACACGAGGCCCGAAGCCGTAAACCAGCTTTGCTCCCTACGGGCTACAAGGATGCCTGCAGCGAGTACTTCCTCTCCTTTTTGTTTTGAAGCAGAACCAATAGGGGAGGACCGAGCTTGGTTTTAAAACAGCAAGGGCTATAGGAGGGGCCTCGTCACTACTTGGGGCGGGGCTGGGACTGAGGCTCAGGTTACGTCTAGCACTATGACGAGGTCGGGGAAGTGGCTGGGAATAGAAACTTGGCCCAGGGCCCCAGAGGATTGCTGACTTTTGATTTTCTTGCCAAGCCATCCGTCTTGCTCTTTAGGGCTCTGGCAGTCAGCAAAGAGTAAACACATTTAGCGACATAAACCAGTGTACAAGACACTAGAAAGGCAGAGTGGAGAAGCCTTAGTGTTGCTGGCTAGGGAGTCAGGACGCCAGGGTTCAATTCCCAACCCATGGCTATATTATGACTCACTACTCATAGTATGTCCACTTCCCCCTCTTCACAAACAGCAAGATGCTCACACACAGTCAAGAAATAAAATGGCCTATTCCTCCAGACCTCAGTTTTCCTTGGAAAATTAGAAGCAGCAACAGTGGCTTACCTCTGGTGATCCTTTTAGGGATTCAGACCTGGTAGAATCCATGGCTTCCCTCCAAGACGACAAGGAAAGGGGCAGTTTGCTAATCATAGAGTTGCTGTCCACATGGCGTAACTTGCCAAAACCAAAACTGTGGGAGCAGAAGGACCAAAATCTGCACAAGAACCTAGCAGACCCAGCCAATTATGTGGTCTTCACAGATCGAAAGCACATGTGACTTCTCTCTTCTCAATCCCCTTCAGCTAAAGAAAGGCTATGCTGCAAAAGCCAACCCTAGCCAGGGGCACAACCTTACCAGGAAAACTGCTATTTAGAGGCTGAGACCGAGGCACTCAATGACAGGTCTCAAGAAGGGTGGGGATTGGAAGGGAGAGCTAGGACAATCCCAAATCGCTCACCACCAGCTGCTCTGGACTCCTGTGATAAGCAGGAAAGGCCTGCTGCACTTTCCTGATAAAACTTGTTCTCTGATCTTCCTGGATCTTTCAACTACCCCAACACACAGTTTCACTTTATTCATTCTAATCCCATTGTCTCCTAAGTGGAGAACTTCTGAGAGATGGGAAGGGATAACTCATTTTGATACCCCATTCTTGAACAACCTAGCCTAACACAAACAGGAGTGAAGCCTGGCAGAGAAGTAGGCTGAACAGGGATATCTGCCCAGTAGGAGATCAGGGTCCTGGGAGATGGAAGGTGGTGTATGTGTTTAGTTTCCTGGAAGAGTTGCTTATGAGGCGGTTGACTATGGGGGTGTACATTTATATACACCATAGCTATGTATATTTATATATACATGCAAACTTTTTTTTCTGGTATATAACTAGTTATTTATATGTGTATAGTACTTTTACATAAGATTTTAATTTATTTGGAAGTTATCTTTATGTAGGATGTGTGGTAGAAAGTAATTTGATTTTTTCCCCTTCTAATTGGATAGAGGGAGTTGTCTCAGATTATTTGCTTTGAAAAGTCATATCCTCGACATACACTAAGATTTACCTATACATGGATCTGTTTCTGGGCTCTCTTCTGTTTTATTATTTGTTTATCCCTGAGTGAATACCACAGTATTTTAATCATTGTAGTTTTATAGTGTGTTTTAATCTCTAGTTCCTGCTTCCTGAAACACACCCTTTTCTTGGCCTCCATGACTTGATACTTACCTATTTTTCTTGATACTTCTCTGGCAACTCCTCAGTCTCCTTCACAGCTTCTTCTCTCCCTCTGCTCATCTCCTAAACGTTAGTGTCTTGGGATCCTAGCTCATCCTTACTCTATACACTCTTTCTGGGTGATCTAATCCAATCCCATGCTGATGACACTCACATACTTATGTCTATTCCTAACGATTTCTAAATATCTGTCCAATTAAATGGCAAACCAACCTATCAAAAGTGGAACTCATCTTTTCTCCTTACCCACACCCCAATAAATCTCCTTCATTGAATGGCACAATTGGCCAGAGACATTGAAGTGAAAATCCTGCTTGTCTTCTTGGAAGCCTCTCTTGAGCTCTCCTCTTCTTCCTGGGATCAATCACCAAGTAATGCTCATTGGGCCTCCAAACTATCTCTAGCCCTCTCCACCCCAGTGTGACTACTCTAGTTCAGGCCTCTTTCACCATGCAGTTGGGTAACTGCAGTTGCTAGATCTAACTGCTATCCCTCCCTCCTCTCTTGTATCCTACTTGTAATCTAATCGCTACACTGCAGCCAGTGTAGAGATAAAATTTATAAAATGTAAATTTAATCATGCTGCTCCCCTACTTAAACCTTTCAAAGCTTCTCCATCCCCTACAGGATCAAGTTAAAACTCTTTAACATGAAGCCTTGTCATGATCTCGCTCCTGTTTGTCCACCACAACCTTAACTCTTTATAACCTGAATTCTTTTCATTCCTTTGTGTTTTTTAAAGATATTTATTTATTTCTAGAGAGAGGGGATGAGAGGGAAACGGGGGTAGGGGGAGACATCAATGTGTGCTTGCCTCTTACTCCCCCTACTGGGGACCTAGCCCGCAACCCAGGCATGTGCCCTGACTGGGAATCCAACAGATGACCCTTTGGTTGGCAGGTCGGCGCTCAATCCACTGAACCACACCGACCAGGGCTCGTTCCTTCAATAGAGGATGTACTTGTCTCTAACGTTCTCCAGGACCACTAGGTCCTCCTCTTTACCTTTACTCATCCTCCAGGTCAGCGTCTTGGGCACATTCCCTCTGGACTACCCCTTGCTCCCACCCCTTCTAGGTTAGGCACCCGTGTTGTTCACGTCCACAGCCTGTGTAAACCCACTGTATAATCCATCACATTGTATTGTATCTATAGGCAGTGAACCTTGAGGACAGCGTTTCTTGGGCTTATTTGCCACAGAGCGTCCAGCACCTAGGACAGGGCCTGGCACGAAGAATAGTGTCCAATGAACAGTGAACGCTCTAGAGAAAGGATGCGGGGAGGCGGGTGTCCTCTGGAAGGCAGCGCTCAGCTGCTGAGAACGCGTGGGTGTCCGTGTGCGGGGCGCTTTCTGCTTGCCGGCGCGAGCGGGTTTGGGAGGGAGCGCAAGGCTCAAATCCCGCCCCAGCCCAGCGTACACCACACTGTGGCGGCGCCGCGTCCCTTCCGGCCCTACCGAGCAGACTTCCCATGATGCCGCGCGGGGCGCCTATTCAAACCGCACCGTGAAGAGGAAGGAGGTCGTAATGGCAGCCCCGGAGCCGGAAGTGTTGTCCCCGGCCGCAGTCCCTGGTAAGGCATGGGGTCCGGATCTCGGGGTACCTGGGGGACCTGTTTATTCCCTGCCGCCATTCCCTCCCATTATTTGTACCTTGGCCCTTTCTCTGGCCGGTCTTCCTTTGTCCGCATTTCTCGGCGTCCCTTCCGGTTCTGGCTCGGCCAGAGTGACTCTGTGGCCCCACGGCCCTGGATCCCACTGGTTCACCCCGACTTTGCCTTCATTTCGGCGGCGTTCTGTACCCCGCTTGACTATACTTTCTTTCAACTCTGATCAGGGCCTCCTCTTTCCGAGTGTAGTATCAGTTCCCTGCCTCAGAAATTCCACCCCCCTCGGTCCCCGTCCCCTCATTCTCACCATCCGCCGTCTCTTAAATCACTGTAGGCGACTGGGATTAGGAATTTCCCTGCCTCCGCGCTCACAGGAGTTTGCGGAGGGAATGTACGTGTGTCCGGGTTAGGGTGGCTGATAGGGAATGAGAAGACTAGTTTTGGCCTTTGAATTTTTAACTTTTCTCTCTTGTCCCTCTGTGCGCCTACCAGATTTGGAGTGGTATGAGGAGTCGGAGGAAACCCACGCCCCCCAGATAGAACTGCTTGAGACTACCTCTGCCCAGGAACCTCCCAACCCTTCGGAGTCTTTTTGTCCCCGAGACTGCCTGGTGCCGGTGGTGTTTCCCGGGCCTGTTAGCCGGGAAGGCTGCTGTCGATTTACTTGTGAACTTCTAAAGCATGTCATGTACCAACGCCAGCAACTCCCTCTGCCCTATGAACAGCTTAAGCACTTCTACCGAAAATCTTCTTCCCAGGTAGGCACAGGCTTTGGGAGAAAGTTGGTGTTGAGACTTTGTGGTTGTTAGATGGTAGTCCGGTAAAAAGGGAGTCGAAGGAATCTCCTGGGCTTGTCAGCCTAAGCAGCTTTAAGGAACATGTTTCAACCCATGGCTTTGGTCACTTTCTCCACACTCTAATCTTTGATAGTCTAACCCTCACCACGTTATCTCTTGTTTTATTTTTTTGAAACTTCTATGGTGTTGCATTTGGACTTAATGAATTGACCTTTTAATTTTAATGTCTTCTCTCTCCAAATTTTTCTTTGTTTTTATTTTCTACTTTCTGGGGGACTTCTTTGACTTTCTATTCCAACACTTCTATTACTTTTTTTTTCTTTTTCTTTTTGGGCAGTCATAGTGTTAAGAGCTCTTACGGTTTGCATGTAGCATCTTGTTGTGTCATGTCTGTATGAACTTCTCTTGCCTGTGGATATTAATTATTGTATTTTCGGGGCTTTCCTCTGTTTCTTTTCTTCGTTTTTTCAGAGAGAAGGGAAAGGAGGGAGAAAGAGGGAGAGAAATATTGGGTCAGTTTCCTCTTGCAGGTCCCCAACCAGAGACCTGGCCCATGACCCAGACGTGTGCCCTGACCAGGAATCCAACCAGTGGTGACCATTCATTTGGTTGGTAGGTCAGCACTCAATCCACTGAGCCACACCAGCCAGGGCTCCTCTCTTTCTTGCAGTGTCTCAGTTTCTTCCAGAGTCCTTTTCCTATCTAAGTCATTGAAAGCTCTGTATGCATGGCTCATAGACCCAAGGATATTCGGTGGGAAGCTAGTGGTCTCTTTGGAGGAGCTCCAAAACATCAGTATTGGAAAGTCTCTCTAGATGGAGGAGGCTGGCAGGTGATCTAAGGGTCCTCATGTTTTCACTCAGTCCCCATGCATTCACTCTTGCCTTTCTCAGTGCCTTAATCAGTAATTCCTGAGTCTGGGGTTTTGCTGTGTGAATCAGTTTGCTTCTCATGGGAGTCTCCGCTGTCAGCACTTAAACTCTTCCATCTGCTTTCTGTCCTCCAATAATTTGTTATTGCCTTTGGCTACTCTTATCTATTCTCCAGGTTTCTTTGTCCTTGAGCATCCTCCTTCCCTGTCTTGCACCCTCCCTTCACCCCTCCTTTCTCCTTCCTTCTTTCCCATCTTTTCCCTTTCATTTAGTAGTATTCCATTCAGATGGGAGCACAAATAAGCATGTGTTCAATTGGAAGACCAATTCAAGAATCACCTTTATTAAACCAGATAATCTTTGTTCCTATTTTCAACCCTAGTACAGCAAAAATTTGCCACATATTATACCACCAAATCTCCTTGAATGTTTTAGCTACTTATTTCTGGATGCCCTCCTACTTCAAAACACTATCTTGTGGGGAAGTTTGGTTTTACACAGGAATGCATTTTCCTTTTTGACATATTGCCTTCTGATAGAACCCAGTGTCTTGGCTGTAGCAGTTCATTGAATTGGAAATCCAGTCCCATAGTTTACTGTACAACAGGGTTCTTAAAGGACATTAACTCTCCCCTACCTTGCCTTCTTTCTCACCATTCCTTGTCTTCATAGGTAGAGGACATGGTGAAGAAGAAACCTTGGGCCACCGCTGAGGCAAGCAACAGGAAATGCCAACAAACCCTGGCAGAACTGGAGAGTGTCCTCAGTCACCTAGAGGGTCTCTTTGCCCGGACACTAGTGCCGCGAGTGCTGATCCTTCTTGGGGGCAGTGTTCTAAATCCAAAGGAATTCTATGAGCTTGACTTATCCCGCTTGGCCCCCAACAGCATGGACCAGAGCCTGAGCACAGCAGCTTGTTTGCGCCGTATCTTCCGAGCCATTTTTATGGCTGATGCCTTCAGTGAGCTGCAGGCTCCTCCGCTCATGGGCACCATTGTCATGGCACAGGGGCATCGTGACTGTGGAGAAGATTGGTTTCGACCAAAGCTAAACTACAGAGTGCCCATACGGGGCCACAAACTGACTGTGACCCTGTCCTGTGGCAGACCCTCCATCCCAGTAACGGCCTGGGAAGATTACATTTGGTTCCAGGCACCGGTGACATTGAAAGGCTTTCACGAGTGAATGGTGATGCTTCTTAATCATGAACACAATGGCTAAATTACTTTTCCTTCTGTGGCACCAAGTCACCCATCTTTTGCTTGGAAGTATAATTGCTTCGTGATGAGAGGAAGGTGCTGTCCTGGCTTCCTGCTTTCCGTCCACAGACTTCCCGGTGGGCTGATGGTGTGACTGGGATTGTAATAATCATCATTGAACAACATCTCTTTGAATCAAGGGTTGATTTTCCCAGAGGGTGCTGGACAGACTTTTCTGTTTGGGGTTGGAGAACAAATGTGGGCCTATAGACACGATTATGGAGGTGTCCCTTTTCTGTGGCTTTTCAGAATTTTTACCTGGAATATAATGTGGGTGTAACTCATGAACTTCAATATAAAGAATGAATTGATATTAAATTTTCCTGAAACTCTTGGCTTAAAGAGACTTTCCAGGCTTGAGGCTAAGAGTATTTTGTCTTTTTCCTTGGTCTCTTTATTTCTTATTTTTTTTTTCTAGTGGCTCTTTCTCTTAATCAGCCCTAGGCTAGTCTGGGAAGTTAAGTGACTTGGCCAAGGTTCTGTAATGGTTTGGTGTCAGTTGGGACTAGAGTCCTCATTAGCTAACTCCTAGCCCGATGTTCTTTCCTTTCACATACTGGACATACTGTTCATTTCTTTTTTTTTTTTTTTTTAAAGATTTTACTTATTTATTTTTAGAGAGGAGATGGGAGGGAGAAAGGGTGAGAAACATCAATGTGTGGTTGCCTCTTGAGCGCCCCCTCCTGGGGTCCTGGGTCTGCAACCCAGGCATGTTCCCTGATTGGGAATCCAACCAGCGACCCATTGGTTCACAGTCCAGAGCTCAATCCACTGAGCCACACCAGCTAGAGCTATATCCTGGTTTTGTTATCCTTAAAATGTGTGCCCAAAGCAGAGGTCACTCAAGGGAATGGGGGGGCTGAAAAAAGAAAACAGAGGGCCTTTGTAAATGTTGATTGAATTGTAGGCTGAGACCCCAGGCCTGCCTTGTGGGATCAGCTCCCTGAGGCCAAATGTCCCTTCTGAAATTCAGCCCTTCCTGTGCCATTGCAGTTGTCTGATGGTTATTGGTGGTTACTTTTGTTCTTAGGCAAACCCTACCTTCTTACCTGAGGCAATTCCTAAGCTGCATCTCTGACTGAGCTATCCTGATTCTTACTGTTATCCTCTCTGATGCTGTTCTGACCACTAAGGATTAATACTCTTTGTCCCTAAGAACACCTGTTTATTTCTTGGAAGTAAGTTGAATACCTAATCTTCACCCTGCTGGTGTTGGAGTGAGGAGTATCTCTATAAATGGGGACAGTATAAATATATACTATTTATTTTTATGTTTTAAGAATTTTTATGTTAAGAAAACATTAAAAAAAATTAGCTCTGGATGGGTAGCTCAATTCGTTAGAGCAGTGTCTCTATATGCCTATGTTGTAGATTTGATCTCCAGTCAGGGTACATATAAAAAAATCAACCAATGAATGTATGAAAAAATAAGTAGGACAACAAATTGGTATTTCCCTCCCTCTAAAATCAATAAATTGAAAATAAAAATAGTTTGTATTTTATGCTCTCTTTTTTTTACTTCACATGCATTTTACCTAATCTTACAAATTTTCAAAGTTTGTATCATTGTCCCCATTTTGACTGGGAAGATTGAATAACTTGACTGAGAGTGGAAAACTGGATTCAGACCCAGTCTACCTGGAACTAGAGGCTGGTGCTTTACACTGCTGTGCATCCTGTGTGGTTTTACTGTGGAATAACTAATAGGATTTGCCTTGCCAAAGGCGGTGTGTTGGAAAGCTGCAGGGCACCCCTCTCTGGCTTCATTTTGTGCTTCCCCACAGGGACCTGGCATTCATGGCTGTTAGTAAATACAGGATCAATGGAAACAAAAGGTTTGAGTTCTTTTCTGTGCTGTGACCACTTGAAGCATATTCCACCAGCTAGAATTTTGGCTGTTTCTCTGCCTGATGATACTACCTTACAGAAGAGGAATAAGGCCATATCTCCCACTTGGGAAGGGACAGGCTCAGTGAGGGGGTCTGACTAAAGGGAGAGAGAGTTTAGAACAGGGAGTAAGAAATTGTTTTGTGATGGAAGACACATCAAGACATGTTAGCTCCCTCAAATACTGATTTTAAAAGCCTTCATAAACAATATTTAGACAACCAAAACAAAGTAATTATCTGGGTAATTTAGACAATTATTTTTCTGTCGGTTTGGCATTGGGGCCCAGGTCATTTTGATTTCATAAGCCCTTTCCAAAGGAATCCAAAATTAAAAGATCAGCTAATGTTAACAATAAATCCCACTTCCTTCCCTGACAAGAAGCTTGCTAAGGCACCTATGTTTGACCGTGGCTGGGGACTCCACGGGTGGGTGTGAAGAAGTAGCCAGTCTTTAGCCCATGGAGTGAAGATCCCCCCGTTCCAGTGGGTTCTGTCTTTTCATCTGTTGCTACCATTTGGGCCTAAAAGCTGCTGTTGTGGGAACCAGGTAGAAAAATAGGTGGTAATTGATGGGAAAGTGTAGTTTGTAAAATGCCCCCCTTTTTGTATCCCTCTTCACAGCCCCTTTTTCCAAGGTGACTCTATGCCTTCCCCCATTGCCTTGATCTCTATTTGCCACTTAGGTCAAATAGTACTATGGAAGGGGTCAAGAAGGAAACATCTGAAGATTGAAGAGGATGGAATGGATGGACCCCATCATGTGAGAGCTGTATTTGGTGGGGATGGTCTTAAATGCCTAGACTTAGCCCCAAGAGTATCTTATTTTCTCCATAGATAATTCTGAGGCCAAGAAGGGGCATGACTGAAGTGAAATAAGACAGCTTGTGTCACTGTGGTGTTGTCTTCCCAAGCCGCGATTGCATATACAGGGAGGACTCAATGTAGCCTATGTGGAAGGACTCAGGAAAGGCAAAAAAGTACCTATGGCATTGGTCTGTGTTGGGACCTCCAGCCTCACACTGTAGACTATCCTCTTTTTTTTTTAGGGGAAACCACGCCGATACTGTGGCAACTGAACACATGCTGTTACCCACTCGGGAAAGAAAGAGGGAGGGAGCTAGTGAACGCCCACGCTTTTAGTAAGGGCTCCGAGGGAATCAGGGCTGTCTTGTGGCCCCGGAAGAGCAGGGTCACAGGTGGGTGTAGTCCTACTTCCCGCCTGAGGGAAGGGCGGAGCTTTGGGTCTCCATGGAGACGGCTTCACGTAGCAACCCGGCGAGCGTTGAGCTGGGCAGTGGGCGCGATGGACGCGGAGAGCCTCCTGCTGTCCCTGGAGCTGGCGTCGGGCAGTGGGCAGGGCCTCAGCCCCGACCGTCGGGCCTCGCTGCTCACTTCCCTTTTGCTGGTTAAGCGCGACTACCGCTACAGTCGGGTGCTCTTCTGGGGCCGCATCCTTGGCCTCGCCGCCGATTACTACATCGCTCAGGGCCTGAGTGAGGACCACCTCGCACCGCGCAAGACACTGTACAGGTGGAGGCGGCGCCCGGGAGGGAGGGCCACTGGGGGTCCTGGAAGGGTGGGCAGTGGTAGGACCCAGGAGGGGCGGGGCCTACGGGGTCGGGGAGGCTGGTGGAGATGGGGTTTGTGGGGGAGGGAATGGGGAAAGGCCTGGAGAGCGAGGCCGAGGACCTGAGAACCAAGTGGAGCCTAAAGGGGCGGGGAAGGGAGTGGGTGAAGTCTGAGAGGGCGTGGCTCCGGGAGGACACACAATTCTTGAGGCAAAGAGGGATGCAGGAGAGAGTTAGAGGCTAGTGGGTTTACAGCAGAGTCTGGGCCAAGGACGGAGGCAGAACAAGGGAAAAGTTCCAGTGTAATGGAGACCTGGAGTAGAAGCCAGGTGCAAGCCTGGTGCGGGCGGGTCTGGCTTTTCGAAGAGGTCAGCTTGGAGAAGGGTCAGAAGCCCCAGGCGGTGGTGCTATTTGGAAGCGTGTCCAGGGCATCCTCCATGGAGATGTTGGCTTACAGCAGGAGGCGCTCTAGGGAGTAGTGAAGGAAAGCAGAATGGGAGAGAAGGGATTCAGAACTGGGGAAAATTGCCTGGACACTACCATAGAGGACCATGCAGCTGCTTCTTGCCCACCCCCAGCGTCGATGGGGAGCTCAGTACCTTACAAAGCAGTCCGTTAGGCATAGGAAGTTGGAAATTTCACGTGTCTCTCCGTGTATCAGTCCATGCTTGGCAAAGGCCCTGAGGCAGGTGTGTGCCTAGTATGTTTGTGGAATCTCATACAGGCTAGTATGTCCAGAGAGGAGTGAAGGAGGGGGACGTTGTAGGACATGAGGTCAGAGGGATAAGGGACCGGAGATAAGGGGCACGTGCATTGCCTTGTGGGGCATTGTAAAGATCTGACTTTATAGGAAGTCATTCAAAGGTCTGCAGCGCTCTCCCCACAGGGAGCAGGCCCACGCCTTTCTACGCCTACAGGTGTGCATCTTTTCTCTCCTAATCTCTAAGGGTGCCCCTGAAACTTGCAACCAGGGGAGCTGTGGGCGGCAGCAGCTCATCTCTGGCTAACCCCTTGAACCTGTCTCTAAGGCCCGTTTTCTTTGACTTTCCAGTGAGCCAACACAACCCCACTTAGGCTCTCCTGTTGCCTTTCCCCCTAAGCCCTTCCTTGTTTCATTGTCCCCAGCAGTAACAAACATACTCTAAAAATAAATAAATAAATAAGAAGAAGAAAGAAAGAAAGGAAGAAAGAAAGAAAAAAAGAAAGAAAGGTGCACAGAAGCATGATCTGGCTTAGGTTTTAACAGTTGTGCAGGGACTAGGCTGAAAGGGGAGTATGGAAGTGGTGAGACCAGTTGGAGTGTCCAGGCCTTCGCCCAAGGGGGAACCAGTGGAGGTTGTGAGAGGTGGGTGGTTGGATTCTGGATACCAACTAGTAGCTGGGGCTCTGGGAGTCAGTTGAGTGAGACTACAAAGAGAAAAGAGGGGTGAGACAAGATCCCTAGAAATACTTAAGGCACTGACAGAGGGAGAAGGAAATATTAAAATAAGTAGGAATAGGGCCCTGGCTGGTGTGGCTCAGTGGATTGAGTGCCGGCCTGCAAACCAAAGGGTTACTGGTTTGATTCCCAGTCAGGGCACCTGCCTGGGTTGTTGGCCAGGTCCCCTGTGGGGGACATGCGAGAGACAACCACACGTTGATGTTTCTCTTCCTCCCTTTCTCCTTCCCTCCCCCATCTCTGAAAATAAATATGTTTTTTTCTTTTAAAAATGTAGGAATGGAAATGCATTTGTTGTCTTTCAGGTCATCCCACGGATGATCTCCTAAGCAGTTTCTTGGGATGATGTAGGCAAAAATCATGGTGCATTGGGCAAAGAGTGAAAGTGACAGAGGGTTCCCACAGTGCAAATTGTTCTCAGATTATTGTTCAGAGTTGGGGCAGAGAAGGTAAGGACAGGAAAGGGGCATTTTCTACAGGGGCATGGATTTTGAGGGCTGTTGCTTTCGAAAGCTGAGAAGTTTTTATGTTGAGAGTAAGGCAGTAGAGAGTGACAGAAGGAAAGGTGAGCAGAGAGCAGGCTGGGGACACGGGTCCTGAGTGGATCAGAGGGGAGCGGGAGTATGTCCTCTCCTGATGGGAAGTGAGAAAGAAGGGACGGGGCTGGCTAGTGCTCCTGAAGCCTTCAAAGGAGGAGAGGTCCTGGAGCCTGGGCCCGGCTTTCCTGAGAAATGGGGAAAGATGGCGCTGCCGTGGGCTCAGTAGGCGGACTGAGCATGAATTAGGGGCTCACCAAAACAGAGGCACCTGCAACAGGAAAATTCAGCTTCCAGAACTCATCCAGAATCTTACAGATATCTAGGAAGGCTCTTGGAATTTTGGCATACATGAACCTTTTATGACCTTTTAAGAAAGAAAATGGAATTTGCATCACATTCTGGGGTGGGTGCACCATTAGGCAATTAGGGCGGTGTTTCTTGGGTTTCACCCTTTTGAGAGAAGGGGTGGTGACAGGAAGCTGGAGTGAGAGAGGGAGTTGGAAACCAGGGGGATGTGGATGTTGTTGACAGCCTGAACTGCATGGAGTGGAGCCTCCTGCCCCCTGCCACAGAGGAGATGGTGGTGCAGACGTCTGTGGTGAAGGGCCGCTTCATGGGGGACCCCTCACATGAGTATGAACACACCAAGGTGCAGAAAGTGAACGAGGGTGATAAGGTCTTTGAAGAAGAAGTAGTGGTGAGTGCATATGAGGAGGGCGGTCTGAGGGAAGAGGGCCTGGGCCATCCAAAACCCAGCCCAACAGAAATTATGATGACAACAACAGAACAACACTGTTCCTGAGCAACAGGGTGGGGAGTGGATGGGCAGCTCTTGTGAAGCCTGGCTCTGGGGCAGGGCCAAGGAAGAAGGGATCTGTGCTGAGCTCTGGGGTAAGGGCATGGGTACAGGTGCTTATATTTTTGTATCAATTTTTGTTTTTCTAGATAGTACATCCACATGGTTCAAAATCCAAAGGTACAAAAAAGAATATAGTAAAATGTCCCTCCCATCTCTC